GTAACTTTATTTTGTTTGTGTGATTTTATTTTGTTGTGTGACTACTGGTTGCAGTTCCCTGTTCAATTGATTGCTGTTCCCTGTTAAATTTAAAAAAGAAAAAAGTCTAAAGTTTTGTTTTGACTGGAGAGAACTAAAAAAGGTTACACTGTCTTCTGGTACTAGCTCAAAATAACAAGTGGTGCTTGCTGCAGAACCACAAAGGCGGAGCTGCACCAGAAGGTGGAGCTGCACCAGAGTCAGCGCCGCCCATTCCAGAATCAGCCCCGCCCATTCCATTAGAGTCAGTCTAATTCCTTCCAGTTGTCAGACTTGATAGCATTCTGGAACCAAAGAGGGTGTTGTAGCTAAAAAATGCGAGATTGAGGACGGAGTTGAGAAGTTAATTGAACAGTTTTTGTAAAGGTTCCATATAATTAAAAATCTAACTTTTGGAACTTTTAATCATGTTATATTGTCATTTCCTCATAAGAAACACGCCAAAGCCATTTTTAGCCTCATTCATGCATTTTCCTCCCATCTCAGATTCAATTTGGTCTCCTCCCCCGAAGCGGGTCTGGTCTTGGTTCTCAAATCTGGATATTCTGTGAATTTTCTGACAAATTATTTCTGAAATGACTTCTACTGAGACACCGCCAATAAACCATACATCCCATCTCAGAGACACACTGGGCAGCACAATTACATGTAACGCCACTTGATTTATAACAGATGTGGTGGTGTAGTGGTTATGGAGTCAGGTTGACATGCTGTTTCACCTCCCAGTAGTGTAAGTTTTAGGTAGTTTACAACCTCTTTTCTTCATTTCTAGCTACACTTGCCAGTACTATGTTTACAACAATTTACTGGTATACCGTTTAACATATAATGTGTTTATTTATTTATTTATTCGTTTATTTAGCCAGTGTGAGTCCATTTGTGAGCAGAGTTTCAACTAAAATGCTGTTTAGGAACGACCAAATTCAAAGAACTTTTAGCGACATAAATATTTTGCTGAAAAGAAACATTACAACTAAAATATAAACAAATTGAATGTGGCTAAATAGACTGCTGATGACCCCACCGAGAATCGAACCAGCATCAGCTGAGGGGAAAGCAAAAACCAACTCAGACGATTTTACCACTAGACTACCAGAGGCCATTCAATAGACTGAAGTGCTGTTGTACACCACTTTTATTAGACCAGCTGTAGGCAGATATTCGTTAAAAGAAACCTTTTCATTTCGAGATATATTCAGTCTTTGTCATGTAGCAAGTTATATTTATCTTGTTTAATTGGAGTATAGAACATAGCATTAACGACTGTAAACTAGTAACAGCCGTAATTCATGTGGGTCAGGTCAGTTTGCGATAAAGTTGAAAACAAAAACGGAAGTCAGTGGGCTAGGCTGAGTTTGCGTGAATGGGCGGGGTGCAGCTCCGCCTTTGTGGTTTTGCAGCCAGCACCCTCTCCAAAATAACCACAGTTTTTTCCCTCAGTGTCATTTGATCTATTTCTTGGGAAGATGGATGGATGGATGGATGGAGATATATATATATATATATATATATATATATATATATATCAATAATTATTTTTAATATAGCCTTTTTCAATACCAAACTTTCAATACCAAACAAAAATGAACTACAATAAAATTACTGGCACACTAAATTCCAATTCTCCTCAATGGGACTTGAACTCGCCAACTGATCTCCCTTACACGACACCAAACGAGGTGCTTTACTTGATTTGGGAGGGGGGAATAAAAGCAGTAAAACAATAAAACTTTGAACATTACAACACAAAGAGAAAATAAATAATGTTACAGCAATTGCGGAATGCCATCTGCGGGATTCGAACCCGCCGCAACGACCAACCAGTAGGTGTCAAACCATGACTAATGAGTGCAAGCCTTGGCGCTCAGGGACACCCATCAGATTGTGAGGCCACAGCACATACGTTTTAGACTGGGTGGGATTCTTATACCCAACAGGAGTCTTCTGCCCGCCTTCTCATTAGAATATGCATAATTTGTGTTTCAGGCACTAGTTAACTAGTGAGCTGCTGCACTCCCACACATGTAAACTGGTGAAATTTCAATTGTTCCACTAGTTAACTAGTGGACAAAAATGGTCAGCTTGTATGTGTTTTTAGATGCAACTAGTTAACTAGTGAGCAAATCCGCACCTCACTAGTTAACTAGTGAGGTGCAGATATGCTCACTAGTTAACTAGTGAGGTACTAGTGAGGTGCAGATATGCTCACTAGTTAACTAGTGAGCATATCTGCACCTCACTAGTTAACTAGTGAGCAAATCCGCACCTCACTAGTTAACTAGTGAGCATATCTGCACCTCACTAGTTAACTAGTGAGCAAATCCGCACCTCACTAGTTAACTAGTGAGCAAATCCGCGCCTCACTAGTTAACTAGTGAGCAAATCCGCACCTCACTAGTTAACTAGTGAGCATATCTGCGCCTCACTAGTTAACTAGTAAGCAAATCCGCACGTCACTAGTTAACTAGTGAGCATATCTGCGCCTCACTAGTTAACTAGTGAGCAAATCCGCACCCTACTAGTTAACTAGTTGGCGTTTTGGGGCCCACTAGTTAACTAGTGAGCATATCTGCACCTTACTAGTTAACTAGTGATGCTTTTTTGCACCTTACTAGTTAACTAGTGGGCGCTTAATGGTGCACTAGTTAACTAGTGAGCAAATCTGCACCTCACTAGTTAACTAGTGAGCATATCCACACCTTACTAGTTAACTTGTGGGCGTTTTGGGGCCCACTAGTGAACTAGTGACACTTATTTTGCACCTCACTAGTTAACTAGTGGACATTTGTACCCTCTCTAGTTAACTAGTGAGCAGTTCCGCCTTCACAAGTTTACATGTAAGTGTCACACTGAAGCCACTACTAGTTTACTAGCTGAGGTTCCTCTGGCCAGCATGTTAACTTGTGTGCCGCATGCAAATGTTTGGGGTGGGATTTTGCAAAATTCCGCACTGTGATTGGTTGTCATATTTTATTTTAACATAGTGAGCCAATAGAAAGCCTCAATTTGAGAAATTCTCTGCCTCCTAATTAGAATTCTGTGCAACTAGCTAGCTAGTGTGAATGTAGGCTTGAACTAGTTTACTAGTATACATTTATGTCCTCACTAGTTAACTAGTTTGGACAATGGATGCATCAACTAGGTAACTAGTGAGCCTGCTACAATCAACTAGCTAGCTAGTGAGTCATTAATGGTTCACTAGTTAACTAGTGGCACTGCCCTACTCCAACTACTTAACTAGTTAGGAGTTTTGCCTTCACTAGTGAACATGTGGACACTTTGAACTGTCACTAGTTAACTAGTGAGACACAAAAACCTTCAACTAGCTGACTGGTATGCATTTTAGCCCTTACTAGTTAACTAGTGAGCCATTTTTGTGTCACCTAGTTAACTAGGAAGCCAAAATGTGTTCACTAGTCAACTAGTGGGCATTTCTTCTGTCACTAGTTAACTGGTGTGCACATTTTGGCCATCACTAGTTAACTAGTGAGACACAAAAACCTTCAACTAGCTGACTGGTATGCATTTTGGCCTTTACTAGTTAACTAGTGAGCCATTTTGTGTCACCTAGTTAACTAGTGAAGCCAAAATGTGTTCACTAGTTAACTAGTGAACATTTCCGTCTCCCACTAGTTAACTGGTGGGCTCATTTTGACCCTGACTAGTTAACTAGTGAGACACAAATACCTTCAACTAGCTGACTGGTATGAATTTTGGCCTTTACTATTTAACTAATGAGCCATTTTTGTGTCAACTAGTTAACTAGTGAAGGTCAAAATGTGTTCACTAGTTAACTAGCGTGTACAGTTTGACCCTCACTAGTTAACTAGTTGACCTGTTGACAAGATATCAGAATTAATGCTCAAGCGGCTGGCCAAATTGGGCAAAGTTAACAAGTGGGATTTTTACATTCAGTAGTCAGCTAGTACGAGTTTTTGTACCTTACTAGTTGACTAGTAAAAACTAAATGTGTTTTAACTAGTTAACTAGTGGACATTGATCTGTCCACTAGTTAACTAGTGAACACACTGAGCAATACTAGTTAACTAGTAAGATATGAAACATTTTAACTAGTTAACTAGAGAGAATTTAGGCCTTACTAGTTAACTAGTTGACATTTAGGCTGTCACTATTTAACTAGTTGACACAAACATGTCTAACTAGTTAACTAGTGGACAGAAATGGCTTACATGTTCATGACAATTCTGGCTGATATCCTGATATCAGAATAAATGCTCATTTGGCTTGCCATAGTGACACACATCCAGCAGAAACCCAAAATCCCTTTATGTCAGCGGGCCCGCCCGACGAGCCTGGTACTGCTGTTTGCTACTCTCATGCTGTTCTTCCTGTAGGAAATAGGTGACATTGCTGAAAATAATGAGCACCGCACAGTGAAGGAACAGCTGCAACGCAGCCTCAAATGGAGAAAACAACCGCAACCGGGTTTATCTGGAACCGAGTCAAAGTTGGTCCTTGTTTTCCACGAGAACACCTTCATGAAAATCCCATCAAGCCAAGTTCAACCCACTGAATATAACGGATTCAATGTACTTGTTTAATCAATCTTCTAATCTTAAACTTGTTTCCATGCGCTCAGAGACTTTAGGTCAGAAACTCCTGAAGATTTCTGCAGGAATCATAAAACTTCTCTGGGATAAACAGCTTTTTCTATACAAGGGATTAACATATGGAAATCCCTACATGCAAAACTCAGATTGAACTCTGGCTGGCATCATTTAGATTAAAACTGAAGTGATTTCTTAAGAAAGATCACACATTTTCTACAGAATGACAATCAGCTTATTGTATTTTTGATTGGAGCTTATTCGGTTGTTTTGTTTTTGCATTACTTGGTTCTACTAAGTATTTTTTTTAATTTATTTTCTTACTTTTTCTATTTCAGACTCTAATAACGTGAAAGTTGCTTGAATGGTTGCATCATTTGCTTCCATCCCCAGGATCTCCATACAGGGATAAAATCACAATAGCGATCCTTCAGCTGCAGGAGGAAGGAAAGCTTCACATGATGAAGGAGAAGTGGTGGAGAGGAAATGGCTGTCCAGAGGAGGACAACAAGGAGGCCAGCGCTCTGGGCGTGGAGAACATTGGTGGAATCTTTATAGTCCTCGCCGCCGGACTGGTTCTCTCTGTTTTCGTGGCTATCGGAGAGTTTATCTACAAGTCCCGAAGGAACGCCGACATAGAGGAGGTAAGTGAGGCTGAGACAAAAACTAACGGTCGTGCTAAGCGTCTTTACACATATGCCAAACTAAATTAGGTGTGTTTATGATGACTTTTCATTAAAAGTTCTATGAAAAACACATTTGTAGTTTAATTATAAACTATGATTATTTATGTGGAATCTATAAATGACCACAGAAATGTTATTTTTGCCATTTAAATTTTTTTTTTGTAAAAGCTGTAAATCTTGACCATCTTACCCTTTCCATTTTTTACTTTTATAAAGAACAAAGCTAAAGAATGAGCACCACGCATGTGAACATTCATTTAGTTTGCTTTCTTTTTGGTTCTTTCATGTTGTTATACCTTTATAATTTTTCTCATTTATGTTTTCTCCTCCATCCTGTTTTTATTTATTTTTTTTGCATCAGGCCTTTTGTTTCTTTTACGGCTTGCAGTCTCGTCAGTTTCAGCGCCGTGGCTCCACTTCCTCCTCTGACAGCTCCTTATCTAATGATCTGGAGAGCGGCAGGCTGCTGGGGGATGACACAGAGTAGCCTCTGCAGCTCTGTAGACAATAGGTTTGTAACCAGGTGTGCTCCCAGTGTACCTGCACTCAGTCCAAATCACTCCCATCCCTGCGTGTTTGCTTGTTTTCTCACACTAAAAGCCGATCCAGACCTTTTTATTTCCTGAAACGTGTTTGTTCACCACTTGTTTCTGAAGTATTTTAGACTAAAGATAACAGAAAGTAATAGGGCTGAATGATTTTAGGAAAATATTGAGTTGTGATTATTCCGACAAAACTTGTGATTTCAATTATATTCATGATTTTCTCAAATCAAGCTTCAGCACAATGTTCACTAAGTACAGTAACTCCGACTTCACACTGGAGGCATCAGCGGTGCGGAACGGCAGCGGAACAGTTTACTTGTGCACTTTGCTGCTGGTAAATGTCTGTATTTCTATAGAGACTTCTTAGGATTCTACAACCCCCCGAAGGTGCTACACAACACAATCAGTCATCCACTCATCCACCCATTCACATGCTGGTGATGATGAGCTTCATTGTAGCCACAGCTGCCCTGGGGCTCACTGACATAGGCGAGGCCTGCTGAACACAGGCACCACCTGTCCCTCCGACCACCACCAGCAGTCAAGGTGGGTTAAGTGCCTTGCCCAAGGACACAACAGCAGCATTCTCTGGACGGAGCTGGGATTGAACCTGCAACCTTCCGATTGCTGGACAACCCGCTCTACCTTCTGAGATACCGCTGTCCCCAAATCCACACTGGGAAAGTCTCAGCCACGGAGCGGCTTCTCCGCCGGACTTGTGAGATCATAAAATCCCTCGAGACTTCAAAGGTCACGGTTTCTTTATGGCATCCACCTTTAAACCTAAAAGAAGAAGGATATCGCTGTTTGATGTCATATATAGTGTTGTTCCTCTCCACTGCCAGGATTAAAGCCATGAAAAAAACATACATTTGCACTACAGTTGCTGGGAGTAAATAAGCTGTTAGGTCACATGAATGGACGTAATCTTATAAATCACATCGTAGCAATTGTCTTTAGTTTGAAATTTACCAGACATTTTACACTGAAACTGTGTCATTTCCTGTCTAGCTCTACGCTGCAGAGATTGACATGTTGCAAGAAACCAATCCTATGTTCTGCAGCGTGGCGAGCTACCTCTGGGACATGCCTGAAAATGTCTGCACTGTGGTCTGTTTGGATCAACCCCATAGACCATAATGGATTCTATTTGAAGCAGCAATGTTCTGCTGCTGTTCCGCGACGCTGATGCCTCTAGTGTGAAGTAGGGGTAACATTTACAAACATCACAGGAAATGACATCATGCCATCAAAACAACAGCTAGCATATTATTCTAATAATGCAAGGATAAAAACTCTAATTCATGAAATAACAGTAAACAGCCTTCAGAGTTTTCCCAACATGGCTTTACGAGGCACGGACGTTATTCTGGGCTTTCTTCTTAAAAAAAAATACAACGCTTTAACACTGAACTCTGAAATAGAACAAACTAATCAACTTGACTTTGAAATTTATTGCCTCATTTTGAATGTGTTTTTAGTCAAAGCTGAAGCTGCTTTCAGCTAATTCTTGTACAGTAATGCAAGTACCTTGCTTTCATTATTTTTTGTGTTATTGCTTTTGAATAATTAATTAATTTATTTTAGTGAATTGAATTCAATTTAAGAATACATATTTGTATATTTTATTATTTCTTTTATAATTAATGCTGTTTTAAATGTTCTTTATAAACATTAAATATTAATATTCTTGGTTGCAGCGTTATGCCTCATTAGGCTTTAATACATGCATATAAAATTAGCTTGAAGAACAGTAAGATTTAAGACATGGACTGATACATTTGGAATAGATTTTAAGCAGTGGGTGAGGATCTGCGTCCGGAGGAGAGCTCAACAGTGAGTTCAGCGCTGGTTACGGATGCTAAGAGGGATTGGTGTGAGCTTGCTGGGAGGCAGAAAGCTAAAGTTACCCACACACAGGGGATTAAAAAGTTTATGGCTAGAGCCGAGCAGACTGAAGAACATTTAGTACCCGGATCTCAGGAAGAATTAAAGAAGAAAAGAGCAGTTTGAGTAGCTTATTTCAATACCTTTACTAGCCTTTTTCAATAGTAAAGGTATTGCAATGGATAGTAAGGACATTGAGGGGTGCCGTACTCTTCCAAGCAAAAACAAGAATCAAAAACCTGCCATTATTATACGATTTGTTAATAGGAAGCAAAAAAACAGCTACTGAAGAAAGGAAGAAAGTTGAAAGGAACGAATATGTATGTTAATGAACATCTAACCAAGAAAAATGCAGATATTCCAAGACAAGCAAGATTATTAAGAAAACAGAAATACAGTCAACCTGGACAACAGATTGTAAGGTGTTCATTAAGTTAAATGGAACACTGGAGCAGGCACAGGTCTTAGTCATTAAAGAGCTGATGGACCTGGAAAAATACGGCTGATAAAATCTAAGCCAAAGCATTGGGATGGTCGATGGTACTTGTAATGAATTGTCAAATAGGATGGTACTTGGCCTAGACGAAGTACTGTTAGAGGTGATGGTGTGTGGATAAGATATATAATAAAGTCAGATGGCTGACAGATTTCAAGTAACAAATCAAATGGATGCTGAAACTGGGACATTGGGGTATGATAGCAATATAGTGAAGTGCCTTGAGACGACTCTTGTCGTGATTTGGCGCTATATAAATAAACTTGAATTGAATTGAATATAGATCCTGACTGTAATTTTTTTTACTAAAATGTTAAAGGACTGTAATTATTATACAATGGAACAATTTAAAAGGAACATAGAGTGGGGTAAGAATATAACTATGGTTCATTTCAATAGTAGAAGTCTATATGCAAACTTTCAATACATTAAAGCATATATAGCACAGTTTAATCAACCATTTGATGTGATAGCAATATCAGAGACTTGGATAAACACTGGAAAAGAAGAGGATTTTGAGATGGAGGGATATGAGTTCCTCCATCTAGATTGGACAAATAGAAAAGGAGGTGGGGTGGCACTCTATGTTGAAACAAATTTAAGGTTTGAAAAAATTAGTAAAATGACGAGGGTGGTAGATGGAGTGATGGAATGTATAACAGTGGAATTCTATATGAAAAAACAGAAAAATATCATTGTTAGTTGCATATATAGAAAACCAGGATCAAAGATTGAGACTTTTAAGGACATTATGGAGGACTTGTACACAAATCTGAATCAGAAGAGAATGTTTATTTGTGGAGACTTTAATATTGATTTATTGAACCCGAATCATAATAAGAGTACTGAAGAATTTATTGAGTCAATGTATTGTATGGGATTATTTCCCCTGATAACAAGACCGACGAGAATAACCACTCATGGTGCAACTCTATTAGATAATATTTTTACAAATGTAATGGAAGAAAATATAAAAGGCGGGATATTGATAAATTATATAAGTGACCACTTACCAGTTTTTGTAACTTATGACTGTTGCTATAAAGTTCATAGAAATGTAGGTAAGATGATATATAAAACAATTAGAACAGAAAAGACAATGCAGTGTCTCAAAACGGAGTTAATAAAACAAGACTATTGTATATAAACACAAGGATGTCAATAAAGCCTATGAGGCATTCTTAAGTATATTCATGACCTTATTAGAGATAAACAGCCTACTTATTGAAGTCAACAGGAAAGACAAGTATACAGGAAGACCATGGATGACGAAGGGACTGCAAAATGCCTGTAAAAAACACTTTATATAGATAATTCATTAAAAATAGAACTACAGAATCTGAAAAGAAATATAAAAATAATACAAATAAATTAATTAACATAATGAGAACTTGTAAAAAAGAATACTTCATCAAAAAGTTAGAAGATAATAAAGATAGCATGAAAGGGATTTGGAATGTATTAAATAGTATAATAAAAAATGCACCAAGGACTAATGACTGCCCTGGGTATTTTATGGAAGGGACATATACTATTAGCAAAATGAACGAAGTAGTAGATTAATTTAATGACTTTTTTGTACATACAGGGTCAAAACTAGCTGCGGAAATAAAGGTTGATTTGATAGAAAGAGAGACTGGAGGAAACATTGAAAGGAATGCAAGTTCAATGTTTTTAAGAGCAGTGGAAGAGAAGGAGATATATGATATTGTCAGTGGACTTAAGAACAAAACAAGTACTGACTTCCATGATATTGATATGGTAACAGTAAAGAGAGTAATTGATGGTATTGTAAAACTGCTACAATATATTTTTAATTTGTCTTTCCAGGAAGGGGTTTTTCCACAAAAAATGAAAGTAGCAAAAATTATCCCATTTATAAATCAGGTGAAAAGCATTGTTTTACAAATTATAGACCAGGGTCGGTACTCTGCCAGTTTCTAAGATACTGGAAAAACTATTTCTAAAAAGATTTAATAACTTTGTGGATAAACATGATCTGTTGGCAAATTGCCAGTATGGGTTTAGAAATAACAGATCAACACTGATTGTTTTAATGGAAGAAATAACGGAATGTATGGATAACAAGAAGTATGCACTTAGAGTTTTTTCTAGATCTAAAAAAAGCATTTGATACTGTTGACCACAAAATTCTAATAATCAAACTGGAGAAATATGGGTTTAGGGGTGTGGTATTGGATTGGATAAAAAGCTATGTGATGAATCAACAGCAATATGTACAAATAAATTAGTTTAAATCTAAATTGATGGATATTGAGTGTGGAGTACCTCAAGGATCAGTATTGGGACCAAAATGTTTATAATGTATATAAATGATATTTGTAAAGTATCGAAGATACTAAAGTTTGTAATTTTTGCAGATGATACCAATATACTTTGTTCAAGTGGGGAGTTTCAACAGGTTGTGGAGGTGATCACACAGGAGTTAAAGATATTAAAGAAGTGGTTTGATAGAAACAAATGGTCCTTAAATTTAAATAAAACAAAATTTATATTATTCAGAAACTATAAGGAAAACATTAACATTGAAGTTTGTGTTGATAATGTATATCTAGAAAGGGTTAATACCATAAAACTTCTTGGGGTGATCATTGATCATAAGGCCTGTTGGAAATCACACATCACTTATGTGAGGGAAAAGTTAGCACGGGGCATTGCTGTCTTGGGGAAAGTAAAACATTTTCTGGATAGGAAAACATTATATATGTTATATTGTGCTTTACTATTACCATACATGAGTTATTGTGTTGAGGTTTGGGGAAACACATATAAAAGTAATATTCAGACTATAATCATAATGCAGAAAAGGGCTATTAGACTAATAAATCACGAGGGGTATAGGGCTCATAAAAACGCACTCTATACTAAGATGCAAGCTTTAAAATTCCAGGACCTGGTCAAGTTTAAAACAGTACAAATAATATATAAGGTGAGGAAAGGGATGCTCCCAATTGAAATAAGTAAACGGTTCTAAAGAGAAGGGAGGTATAATTTTAGAGGGAAGTGGAATTTAAAAGTAAAAAGAGTAAGAACAACATTGAAAACAATGTCTATCTCTATAGCGGGCGTTAAATTCTGGAATGAGTTAACAGAAGAAATAAAGGTCAGTAGTGATATAAACCAGTTCAAAATAAAACTCAAACAAGAAATGTTAAATAAGTATAAGAACGAAGAAAATGCAAGTAACCCAGGACGGCATGCAAACTGAAGTTTGATCTCTTCTACAACTTAGCAAATCTAAATATAGTTCTAGTTGAACATGAGAATTATTTTTCTGTTTGTTTGAAGGCATTGTTTATGTTTATTGTTTATTTGCTTAGCAGACGCTTTTATCCAAAGCGACTTACAATTGATAACCTGTAGGGCATGTTGTGATCTGTGGGGAAAACCGGAGTACCCGGAGGAAACCCACGCATGCATGGGGAGAACACGCAACTCCACGCAGAAAGGCCACAGCTGAGTTTTGAACCTGCGACCGTCGTGCTGCGAGGCAACAGTGTTAACCACTGCGCCACCATGCAGCCCATTGTAAATGTTTTGTTGTTCAAATTGAGATGATGAGGATGTACACCTGAGGGGGTAGGGCTACATAAGTATATACTTCTGCCTACTCCTTTTCAAACAACTGCTTGGAAGGATTTTATGAACATGGCTGCAGGGCATATATATATATATATATATATATATATATATATATATATATATATATATATATATATATATATGTAGTGTATGAATAAAACATTTTACTCAAGATTATTTAGACGTTAAAGAGTACAAATGTTGGAATTTCCACTGGAGCCATCAGAAGAAATGAGAAATCTCAAAGGGCGACTGATTTGTTTGGGAAGCCTTCGGCAAAGCCACGGGATGAAAGAAGACTTTCTGTGGTCCTTGAACACAAATATAAAAAGATTATAACAAAATGACTGTTGTGGACGAACTAATCAGCCAAACACGTGAAAAGGGAAAGAAAAAAAAAACACAATTGAGGATTGATGAGTTTTTAATGGGATCTAATATTCTGCTGCACTGAATAAGCCCGAAGCTTTCCAGATCAGATGGTCAGCTCTTTGATCGTTTCAAATAATTACCATATCATTAACTAGCTAATTGTTTTTTTTAATCACACAATAAAAGAAGGTTGCTCTGCAAAATCATATTTAATGAAAGAGCAAAATTAAGAGATCCGTTGCAGCTTTTAAGTTAAGCAAAAGTCCTTTATTTTTATTTATTTATTTGTTTTTGTTTATTTAATCTTGGTTGTTTGTCCACACCTGAAGCAGAAATTTGGACTTTTTTCTCAGAGGGCACCATCTAGATGCCACAAAATATATTGCACCTCAAGCCCCTTTCCCTACATCTGTGATGACGGCTGTAACGCCTCTCATTCGTCAACGCATACCTCTAGTCAGCCAACATTACTAAAACACACCCCTATTTTCCCCCCCTAAATTTAACCAACCCTGCGTCAGACTAGGTCATGGAAAGACAATCCTGGTCCTTGAATGTTGCTATCCACCGCTAGTCTAGCTACTTCTGCAGTCAAAGATGGCATCTGGCGATGGCGCAAACATCTTTCTTTAGAAGAAAGGCTTTTAGCACTTTTTCTTTTTGTGGTTTTAAAAGACATAACCAAGTCATTTAGAACAGAGGACAGAGCCGCAGGAGGCCCCCAGGTCGACCCAGGACAGGTTGGAGAGGTTACATCTCCAATCTGGTCTGGGAACGCCTTGGGGTCCTGCCGGAGGAACTGGTGGAGGTGGTTGGGGAGAGGACAGTCTGGAGCTCCCTAGTTGGTATGCTGCCCCCGTGACCCGGACCTGGATGAGCGGAGGAAGACGATGAGGACGACAGAGCCGCAGCGAACTCCGCTTTAGACGCCATCTTCACTGTTTATGAGAAACGGAGCGCCACGGTGTGTGACGTACGCCACTCGGCGCCGATTGGCTCGGTTAGAATTCTCAGGGGGTGGGGTTATTTCAATAGGAGCGTTATAAGGCCATTTGCTTCCCATAGGAAGCATTGGCATGGCTGACCAGGCTAGGAAAACTCTGGATAGATGTTTTAAAGGGGAATCTTAGGATGCCAGCCCCAAATTCCAAGGCTTCAAGACAATTTTATGATGTTGCCATAAACAGATTATTTACAAAATACTGCTTTACGAGAGTCAGTGACTCACCTTCTAATATAAGACCACTTTTTTAGTTTCTTTTGCCATGAAAAATAACAGCTGTCTGGATGGGGGGAAACTGGGGGGCCAGCAAATTTATGATAGCAGAAGTACCGGCCCCCACTTAGGGGCACCACTGTAAACTTAGCAGCAGTTTTACTTTATGATTCTATCTTTTTGATGCATTAAAACTCAGAAAAAGAGCTATAACATGTGACACACATTTCTTTCTTTACAGTGCATGTCTTTTAGTGCTATGATGGAGGAGTTGGGGATTTCCCTTCAGTGTTACAAAGGCATCCGGAGCAGGCCACGTCCACACAACGCAGCGAGGTCCCCGTGTGTCCTCTGTCAGCCCAGACGTGGGGCCAGAAGGGAAGGAAGACGAGACTCCAGCACATGAGAACCGAATCTGAAACATGATGGAATTTTTATCAGAGACCATTTGATCATTTCCCGCCTGTCAGGTCTGTCTGTGGTCCAATAAATTTAGAAAAGTGATTTTCCTCCTTTAAACTTGATGTGTGTGTATAAAACAAAGTGACATGCAGATGACTGTTAAAAGCAGATGATGACTGTAAGGATGACGATCTCTCAAATGAAATAAAACACTGCTGCACCCTCACGGTTTTAGCTATGCAGCGTCTGGTCTGCACGCTTTACAAACCACCCCAATGTGTAAATGTAATACATCTTTAACAGCTTTTCCGAATAAAAATTTTGTATTGCATTTTTTTTTCAAGTGGGTGCGTGATTGTTTGTTGTTGTTGTTGCTTACTGCTGGCAGTTGCCATATTTTTTGTTTGCCTGCCGGCGTCCCACGAAGCAGCTTCAGAGTGGGTTACTGAGCCGTCCGAAGCCAACACGAAGAGATAACAACCTCTAAGGAAAAACAGGAACACACCTGCTGTTTCATATCTCACAACATCACAGACGTCAAACCAGACACACTCACACACACACCATAGCCTGATGTCGGCACGAGACGGGAAGAAGGGAAGGACAAAATCAGAAATGTGTTTTTAAATGCAAAAAATATAAATTCTCGGTGGGTAGAAGTGAAAGCAAAATTTCTGTGTTCAGCTGGGAGTAAAGAAACTTGTTTATTCATTTATTTTAGTTTTTTTTTTGTAGTTGTCAGTTTTGAAAGCCTGAGGGTGATGTCTTTCCTCCCAGCACGATGCATTCAGAGTGAATACCTTCTGCCAAAGTCCCATTGGATCATTTACATTTAAAGCCATACATGTCAGAGACCTGTTTTAAAAACAGCCTGGTTTGTTCTTTTAATTTTTTTGCAAGTTTTCCAAACATGAATTCATCTGATTCCTAGAGAAAATAATCTAAATATGGCGTGCATTTAAATGGACCCGGTTCGCTTTAAATAATCTGTTTTGTCTTTGTTTTTTTTGTTTTTTTGTTTTTTAGTTTTTTTTTACATCTTTAAACAATCATTCTAAATGTGTCACAGTTACACAGATTACAAACGTTGATGTATCTGAGCATTTATCATTTCAAAACATCAACAAAGTTTGGTAATATTTGATTAAAATCCTTTAATGATTTTTTCATGTTCCGTGCCTCCTTTATTGAGGCGGCCGACTGGAGCTGTAGTCGCAGGATCGTTGGTGCCTGTCATGGTGGCAACCCCCGAACCCGCTGGTGGACACTGGCGGTTAGGGATGCCGTCAAGCTGAAGAAAGAGTCCTATCAGGTCTTTTTGGCCTGTGGGACTCCAGAGGCAGCTGACGGGTACCGGCAGTCTAAGTGGAACGCGGCTCGGGTGGTCGCCAAGGCAAAAGCATGGGAGGAGTTTGGTGAGACCATGGAACAAGACTTCTGTACGGCTTCGAGGAGATTCTGGTCCACCATCCGGCGCCTCAGGGGGGGAAAGCAGTGCGTTACCAACACTATCTATAGTGGGGACGGTGTGCTGCTGACCTCTACTCAGGACGTTGTGGATCGGTGGGCAGAATACTTTGGAGACCTCCTCAATCCCACTGACACGTCTTCCAGTGAGGAAGCAGAGTCTGGGGACTTTGAGCTGGCCTCTCAAATCTCTGGTGCTGAGGTCACTGAGGTGGTTAAAAAACTCCTCTGTGGCAAGGGTCCAAGGGTGGATGAGATCCGCCCGGAGTTCCTTAAGGCTCTGAATGTTGTGGGGCTGTGTTGGCCGACGCGGCTCTGCAATATTGCGTGGGCATCAGGGGCAGTCCCACTGGACTGGCAGACCGGGGTGGTGGTCCCCTTATTTAAAAAGGGGGACTGCAGGGTGTGTTCCAACTACAGGGGGATCACACTCCTGAGCCTTCCTGGTAAGGTCTATTCAGGGGTTCTGGAGAGAAGGGTCCGTTGGATTGTTGAACCTCAGATTCAGGAGGAGCAATGTGGTTTTCGTCCTGGCCGTGGAACACTGGACCAGCTCTATACCCTTAGGGGGATCCTGGAGGGTGCGTGTGTTTTGTGGATTTGGAGAAGGCTTTTGACCTCGTCCCTCGGGGGACCCTGTGGGGGTACTCCAGGAGTATGGGGTACCAGGCCCTCTAATACGGGCTGTTAGGTCCCTGTATGTCCGGTTTCAGAGCTTGGTCCGCATTGCCGGCAGTAAGTCGGGCTCGTTCCCAGTGAGAGTTGGACTCCGCCAAGGCTGCCCTTTGTCACCGATTCTGTTCATAACCTTTATGGACAGGATTTCTAGGCACAGCCAAGGTGTGGAGGGCATCCATTTTGGTGGCCTGAGGATCAGGTCTCTTCTTTTTGCAGATGATGTGGTCCTGTTGGCTTCATCAGAACATGATCTTCAGGTTTCGCTGGAGCAGTTCGCAGCCGAGTGTGAAGCAGCTGGGATGAGAATCAGCTCCTCTAAATCTGAGACCATGGTCTTGATTCGGAAAATGGTAGAATGCCTTCTCCGGGTCAGGGATGAGGTCCTGCCCCAAGTGGAGGAGTTTAAGTATCTTGGGGTCTTGTTCACGAGTGAGGGAAAACTGGAGCGTGAGATCGATAGGCGGATTGGTGCTGCATCTGCAGTGATGTGGGCGTTGTACCGGTCTGTCGATGTGAAGAGAGAGCTGAGTCAGAAGGCGAAGCTCTCGATTTACCCGTCTATCTACGCTTATGGTCATGAGCTTTGGGTAGAGACCGAAAGAACGAGATTGCGGAAACAAGCGGCCGAAATGAGTTTTCTCCGAAGAGTGGCTGGGCTCTCTCTTAGAGATAGGGTGAGAAGCTCGGCCATTCGGGAGGGGCTCGGAGTAGACCCGTTGCTCCTCCACATCGAGAGTAGCCAGTTGAGGTGGCTCGGGCATCTGGTCAGGATGCCTCCTGGACGCCTCCCTGGTGAGGTTTTTCAGGCACGTCCAACCGGGAGGAGACCTAAAGGTAGACCCAGGACACGGTGGAGGGACTATGTCTCTCACCTGGCCAGGAACGCCTTGGGTTTCCCCCAGAGGAGCTGGCCCAAGTGGCTGGGGAGAGGGAAGTCTGGGCCTCTCGCCTTAGTCTACTGCCCCCGCGACCCATCTCTGGATAAGCGGATGAAAATGGATGGATGGATTTTTTCTTATTTTACAGCTTTAGCTAATTTATTTATAATGTTTTTAACAAATCTCAATAGAATTGACTTGCAGTCATCCACAGATTTTTTAACACATTGGCAAATTGACTAAACTGGCAAAAGTTTGTTGAAAACTGGATAATGTAATGTTTACTTTTACAACTGGAAACTGTTCTTTGAGCTTCTATTTGGATGCAAACTTTATTGGGGCTCAAAATGGCTCAGGAGCACTGACAAATGGCCAAACCCAACTCGATAAAAAGCCTTTAAAAATGACAGATTGGTTTGCCCTGCTCATTCTCCCAGGGTGTTAATATTAAATAAGCTCTGTGCTGATTGGCTGGTTTACCCTGACGGCTTTATAATGCTACCTGAAGCTAGCAAGTCGGTCATGTACAGAATCAGGATAATTAAATGGCTTTATCTGGCATTCATTCAAAATCTATATTCACAGTAGCCATGCTAGTGTTAGCAGTAGCTTCGGTTAGCATTACCACTGCTATCAGACATTCTTTCAAATCTTAGAGATTCCCAGTACATTCTAGAATGTTACGTGTGTTCTGACCTTCTTCTTTGTTGTTTTCCTGTCATCCAACAAGGATGTTAGCAGTAGCTCATGCTAGCATTAGAAGAAGCTTGGGCCAGTGTTAGCAGTGGCTCAAGTTAGCATCATTCTTCTGCAGTTAACATTACTACCACCAGTGTTTTTATGATGACTCTGAAGTGGATTGGGGCATTGTAATTGAAGGGTCTCTGGCTGCCAATGACGTGTTAAAGGTTGAATATGGAACAATTTAATAGAAATAAAAATAATTCCTACACGGGGCATTTAGAGGTGTGCAGAATGAAGGTACAGTATTTCCTTTAAAAGCTATATTTTATTTTAAAAAATAATCAAATATGTACTTTGACAGGCACAACACCGGGTTTATGTTTACATCTAACAGCCAACAAAGGGCGCCATTGCAAATTGCTAAACAGTCTGCTCGGCACAGCGAGTCTGGCAAGTCAAGCAGTTGCTTCTGAGCCCAGAAGATGTCATCATTCTCAAATAAGGAGCGATCATAAAAGACCTAAAGCCAAGTGAAGCCCACAACAGATGGAGCCAAATAAAAAAATACTTGAATCGGCAGCAAACCTATCCCGAAGTCTGGAAACCTTGTTTTATTATTGTGAGTACAACCTCCAAACAATAGATGTCGCTTTGCTGTTTGTGTTCCATATTTAACTTTTAAACCAGCTTTTCTCAGAATGAAGTGTTTCTCCGTGGCCATTACAACATTATTGATTTCCACAGGAAAGCAGGTTAGTTACTAAAGAAGCTAAAGTAAATCTTAGTTCCTACATATTACAAGTGGTTTATAGGTAGTAGTTATTTTATTAAAACTTAGAAATGTCCGAAAATTAGACATATTTATTGCTGTACCTATGATGCACCGTTGATTCACAGAGCAGATATAAATATTTCATGCATATCCGGGTTTGTTCCAGTTGTCTGAAAACCTTCAGAGTGAAAAAAAATAATCAACGCTAACATGATTAATTTATTCATCTACCTTGATTCTTCCACCTCTTGTCCATCTCGTTTAATCATTTCCGATTCACATTTTCAGTTATTCTGCCCTCCTTTTATTCCTCTAGCTCTGCTCCTCCTGAAACCCAGTCAGCAAACTGCAAGTGGATTTAAAGCACTGAAACCTCTGGCACTCTTAACATTTAATGATCAGCAACATCATTAAGAATCAGTGGGATGCCAGCTGATCACATCAACATCACTGAATGCTAGCGTGTAAATAATGCTTGAAAGGGAAAAGGTAAGAAACTGAATTTTAATGATCAGGATAAAAGTGACCTTCGGTTCCCAGGTTTCACCGGCTAATGAACTGACATTTCTAACATTAGGGAGCAATAAATGACATTAATGGTTTATAAATCACTTGAATCAGATGGTATACTTTGTGTCATGCCTTTAGGTGGAGTCTGGTTTGTGTACATCCCAGGAGAGTTGGATGGAGCTTTTCTTAATCTCTTCATGTAATGAGTTTTCTTTTTTTTTCTTTTTATTTATTTTTTTTTGTGGCATTGGGATTAATTCAGGGATTGGACTCTGTCCAGTGTAATAGCATTTAGTCGGATCTAATCTCCTTACCCCATAAA